AATGTTTTTTTACTAATTTAACTGCAACAGTTTGTACCTCACCAATGTGTATTTGTATGTGAGTTATTGAGGCACATCGCATAAATTTAATTATATTTTATTTTTCGGCCATATTTTTAATTATTAATAACAGCAAGAACCAATTTAACACTTACATTGGAAAAAACCCCATAATTCAAAAAATACAAAACCACTTTATGCAATTGCAAGTCCGAGGGTTCAACATATATTTTTGTTGGATACCCTCACACGTCGGCATTCTTGGAAATGACCGTGCTGATATCATAGCTAAAACTACTCAAAACTTAAGCAGTAATCTCTTGGCATGTTTGGACCTCAAACACATTTGTAAATCTTCAGTTCATCAAGAATGGAAAAATCATTGGAATAGACAAAATAATAATAAATTACATGAAATTTATCCTAATCTTGATAATTGTAAGACATTAACTGTTGATCGCAAAACCCAGACTTTAATAAACAGACTACGTATCGGGCATACTCGTTTTATGCATATGCATTTACTGGTAGCCGAACCTGCACCCAGCTGTACTCTATGTCAAGTTGACGTTTCAATTAAACACATATTAACTAACTGCAGACGATTCAAATATTTGAGGAAGATACATTTCGGCAGATTTTATCCCAATCTTTCATCCCTACTTAGTGACCCTATACATCACAATTTAATCAAATTCATTAAAACAATAGGACTGTATTCACTAATATAAGTAAAAATGCAATTCTTTTACCTAGTGACTGGCGCAGTATAGCCACTTCTGGCTCTTGTGCCATTAAACTTTAACCAACCAACCAATCAAATTTGGTGAGTTTGCAACCGTAATTTAATATTTTCTCTTTCTAAACGGGCGGATATATATTAAATACTATTTTTGCTTACATCATATTGAGCAAGAAGCTGATCGTTAAGATCTCAATCATTTAAAATATCTCTTTAACTGTAATTTATAACAATACATTAATGTTTTTTGTACATAATTAATAATTGTAAAATGGTTAATAAGATTAGATCATCTTTATAAATAACTTTATCTTAAAGTGTAGCTGCAGAATTACATTATAATAATAATAATAAACAAAAACAATTCTCTTACTTTTAAACTATTGAATTAAACGCTTAATAATATCAGTGCAGGAAAATGGGAAAATTCTTAGGGATGTAAAAATATTTATAGAAAAACAATTCACGATCGCAACGCTTGAGTACGCCTTCTGGTAGAGCCTGAAAATACCGGGCATTTATTTATTAAGTTTTCATTTAGTTCTATCATAATCTTTGGCGGAGTCAGACGTCATTTTTTTAGTGCCCTAAAGAAAGGGCAGAAGAACTTGAAAGAACTAACCGGAACATTGATTTTTTTTTTGAAACAGAACGCGCCAAACATTTGATATGTAGTATGTTATCTAAAAGTAATGAAGGGATAATCTATGTATATATTATTTGAAGATAAAATTTTGAAACGAAGAACATATCATTTTGAAATCCTCCGGAATCAGGTAAGTGTTATGATTTTTATATAAGCATAGTTAAGTATACTTTTTGCATATTTCAAAGTTTCAAGTAGTATGATTCATAAAACTATGGAATGCAAAGTTTAAATAGGCCTTTCTTTAATATCATTAAACGATTATTTATATTTAGTAAGTGATTTCGCAGGCATTACATTTTAACTCTAATAAGAAGATACATATATTTTTGACCTGCTTACTAACAAATATAAGATGTTCATTCTCTAAAAGAAAAAAAAAGAGATACTATTTTGTTTTCTCTTGCATAAAAAAATAGCAAACACTTGTCTTTTTTAATTTTAATACTATAATAAGCTACAATAAAGAAGGAACGTTACAATGCTACACGCTACTAAATGATTGTTCATATAGAAATCGCAGGTATTAGTCTCATACAACAACGCCCCCTATAGTTCGTTGCAATCGCGAATACCTTTATGGCTTTTATTAATTTTATGCTGATTGCAACCAAAGCAGTATGAAAATGAATGAGGAAAAACTGGATCCTACCACGTGCACTGGACCCAACCATGTGCTACGAACATATTTTAAACAGATGAAAATTTAATTTAAAAAATATGAACGAAAAAGAAAAAGTAGTTGAATTTTCTTGCTTCTTTCGCCCGGGTAATTGAAAAGGACCAATTTTTTAGCAGTCATTTTTAATGAATAATTTCAAGTTTTCAAAAAAAACTGTTCTGTATCAAAAGTTTTGTCGTAGGAATTCGTTTGCAGAAAAATACTAGTATAAAAGACGCAAATTCTTAATAAAATTTTCATATTAAATTTTTTGCTTATGTTAGTCGAAAAGAAATTTCAGGTTTCATAAAATAAGCAAATTTGGTTATTATTGTAATCTATTTGTTTGTTATTGTTTGCTAATTTGCGTTTTAATGTGCCTCATTTAATAAAAAAAATTTAATTCGCGATATAAATGTGACCACAGTTTTTTTGTGCAAACAATCATAAGTGACAAAATTTAATCACATTCCTTTATTTAGTGTTTAGATTTTCTTGACAAAATAAACTTGTTTCACACAAAAGATAAATGATTTTAGTAAATTAATATGTTTGATGAAATATGTATTTTTATGCCACCATTTTTCTCCATGAGATCCTATTAGTCGCAAATTTTTATCTAACCTCTAATATTATAATTTTTGCTTTTATTAGTCAAAATAAAAATTTTTGTCTCTCACAATATACGAATTACTTATGCGAAATAACATCTTGTCCAAAAAATGGCTTTATATGTCTCATTTCATGGAAAAAAAAAATTTCGGAATTATAAAAAAAATAAACGCAATGTTATGTGCACATGTATAGGTTGTTTATTCTTAATCGTGTTCTAATATTCTGTTTTATTATGCACTTAATTAGTAAAGAAAATTAAGAGCTACAAATATATTTCAAAGCAATTTAAAGATCATATCAACAGACATCTTTTAGAAACGTGAATTAGGATTTTATTCAACACCAGGAAATAATGACTGAATCACAGTTTTAAGCCAAAAAGTAATAACCAAATCATGACTAACTGCATCAAGAATCACGAATAAGAACTTGCTTAATTCGGCTACTCTATTTAAGGACAATTATTCTCTTACTCACAAGATTTGATCGAAATCTTTAGAAATCTTTCCATATACATTATACAGTTATAAGCGTCTACAGTTATAAGCGTTATAAGCGAAGCAACAAAATCTGCTATTAATTTCTTTGAAACTTTTTCTTGGTTGTTTTGTAGACAGAGAAAAGACAGATGGCATTAACCAGCTTCGTTTTTCTTATAATTTGTTTATCTGTGTCGTTCATTGGATCCATTCAAACTAAAGAACCCGAGTTGACAGAATTTGGTAAAAAAGTAAAAAAAGATATGTCGGAAGACACTTATAAGAACATGTTTGCCGTCAAAGGCAAAACTGACGACGAGTTAAAGGAGGCAGTGAAAAAATCGAGTAAGAAGTTTGCCGAGTTAGTTCCTTTTCCATACCATGAAGCTGCCGAAGAAAAAGTGGAGAAAGAAAACCAAGAGTTAGGAATCGCTAATCTTAATTCTTCTGTACTTTTCCATTGTCAAACCTTCGCCATTTCAGAAGGATTCACGAAGTTGCATCGTATAAATTCAACGAACATTGATGATCTAGCTCAGAAGTGTTACGTCACTCTCATAAGATGACGTCATTCATTTAAAGTGTAAATATTAACTAAAACGATTTTTTCGCCTGTGTATATATGAAAAGTGTGAGTGGCAACAGAAAGAATGTTGTGCTAGATGTGTTCTACGAAAATAAAATGGTTGCTTTTGTAAATATGTGTACGCCGGTATTTCTTGTAAATTTAAATTATTTCATCGCTGGATAGATCGGGTAGATTTATCGGAAGCACGAAACACAGAAGTACGCAGATGCTTTCGAAAAGGTAGCCAAGACATTAGATAAGGATGATCTTACTTCGATTTTTATTGCAATTGTCACCGCAGTTGCGGATTTTTTGAAATCTGTGGGTGTGACATCAGAGGATTCCGTTAAGAAGATCATACAAGCATATAATGAAGAAATGAAAAAGTATCTATCAAATGCTGATTTACTGGGATCCATTCTATAAGTTGTTCCTACCATTTCTACCACGTGAGCCAGAAGCAAAGACATTAGTATTTTATGATTCCTTTCCATATTATTCATTCCTTTCCATATTATTATTTGTGCTCAAAACATATATTTCAATACATGGATATAATAGAAAGACATAGGATTTGATGGAATTGGAAAATTAACTAATGGGTAATATTTTACAGCTAATTATTGGTGTTTGCTTATGAGATTTTTGAATGGTTGGTTGTAGTTTTTGTTGCCAATTAAGTACTGTCCATTTTGATATTTTGGTGAAAGGAAATAAATCATTACGATAAAGCATATAGAGATCATTTTTTCAATAATTTTATTCATCCATAAAAGATTTTTTCGAAGAATAAAGTAAAATTTAACTGCCAATTATTTTCTTAAAAAAACATGACTTCTTCGTACAAATCCCTCATTTGGTATTTGTTCTGTTCAAATGGTAGTAGTTAAATAGAAATTATGGTTTTTAAAATTATAGTTCCTATTACCAGACATTTAGAAAAAAATACAAAATTGAAAAATAAATTTAACCGAAGAAATGATTTTTAATTCAAAAGCTAAGGTATTACGATAAAACTACCTACTGTTATCACATTTACCAAATTTTTTTCATCAATATTTCAAAATTATATTTTATTGTTAACTTTACCAAAATCATATCCAAAGCTCTTCTGTAAAAATTACCGAGTTTTTTGGTGTCCCCTTAGAGCCAGAAACATGGCAAATTTGACTATATTTTGTTAATTTTAACAATTATTTTTTCCCAGTGTAGCTTTACTTTGATAAATAGTGATGCAGTGCTTCTTTTAACTTTACTAACGCAAAACATTACTTGACACCAATAATATTGATTAAAACATGATTTTAAATTTTAAAATAGTTTTCAAGTTCTTTTTTTAATTAATTATTTACTTTTGATAAAGTTGCTTTGAATTTTACGGGGTTCATTTAGTTACAGTCTTCCAACATTTGCTTTTGTATTTATATTTGTTTCTTTATTAAAACTTTGTGTTATTAAAACTTCTTATTTTTACCTTCAGATAACCTTTTCAAATTAAGATATATATATCATTTATAATTTAAATACTTTTCAATATGCTTTTGAGAAATAATAGAGTTTTCGTTTCAAGCATCTATGCTACTCTATTGACAAAATAATTAATTATTTAATCAAATTAAAGTATAACTGATGATATATCAATGGAATTATTATACAATAATCTTGAAACTGTTTAGATGATTTTTAACTGTTTAGACCACTTTAGATGATTTTTTTCAGCCACAGTTCGTAATTTTGACCTGAACGATCAATCTCCAATTTAGTACCCTCAGAGGTAGTTATGGGAACTTGTAAGACTTTGTGACAGATTTAACTTGCACCAGTCACCATTTAATACACGGAGCTTCTACGGCTGGCAGGATTCAAACTGCCGTTCTCACGTACAAGCGTCCAACGTCCTGACAGCCAGGCTATCTCGGCCCCTTAAAATACCCTGAAAATATTTCCATGCCTTGAAGATATAACATTTTTCTCCGATTATTAAATGAAATAAAAAAAAATAGTAAAATAAATTAAAAATAATTATTAGAAAATACTTCTGCATACAACTATTTTAGGATACACAAATTTCATAATAGGAAGCAGAAGTTTTCAATTTAATGGAAACCTTGGTCGAACAGTATTTCCCGCCAAACGCTGAGCGAAGCGTGGAGGTTGAAGGTTCGAAGCTCGTTGTTACCTTGGCTGTCCTTCTCTGTATTGTGCTATCAGTTCTTCTACTAGACAAAGATTTATAACAATTATTTGAGCACACAAGCCTGTAAATAAATATTGTTATCTATAAGCCCGGTTGGTAACATGGAAACTGAGGCCCCTGATAATGCACGGCTGTTTTATACGGATGAAAAGTCTACGGTCCTTCCTCGCCGTGTAGTTTTGCCATTCCATTAACAGCTCTGAAACGTGGATACAGAGGGATAGAATAGCCGTTTAACAATGGATGTAGATTCTTACTCTCTTTATTAAGTTTGTGCTATCTGTTTTGGCTTTAGCTATCACACTTTAAAGCATCTTTGAGGCCCAATTTTCTTCTGTTAAAATTGAGAAATATATTAAAAAATAAATAGTTAACGGTTATCTAATTCATATCAACCATTTAAATAATGCACCATATTAAATAAACCATAATGCAAATTGGTTATAATGTTTTTACTATTTTTTATTTATTTATTTCTTTTTGATAAAAAGATTAGGCATCCTAGATAAGATTAAAAGTTCCTAATAAATGGTAAAATGACTGACAGCTCTGAAGAACATTTCATAAATATATTTATAAGCTTATTGAATCTAAAATCAATAAATTATACTGATTTATAGATTCATTGAATCTATCAATCAATATATTATACTGATTTATAAAATTGTACTATTTTAAATGTTATTAATATTGTAGATATTATGCATTGAATCTTATAAAACTCAGTTGTTGCCATTACTATAATACTCAGTTATTTATTATCAGTTTTCAGGCCTTAACATTAGAGATACCAACGTAGTCAATACGGCACCACGTTAAGCATTCAATTATTGTTTTGACTTTATAACTCTAAGTAAAGCTTTTTTTAATTTAAAATCTGTTTATTATTTTTTTTATCTCCGTGGAAAAAGCGAATGCTTAAAATATAAGAAAAGCTTCTCACAATTAATATAATTAAACAGGGAATCACAATGATCAGAAGTCAGTATGAAAAACGCTGCCCACATTGTGACACGCATCAAAGTTAAAACGATGAGCAGAGATTATCCCTCCCCTCCTCCTCTTTCTCCACAATGGAATTAAATATGAATTAAATCCAAATTATTTCAAACTTTCATGTGGGAATTTCGCAACCCCCATGCTCGAGTTTTCCCCCATGTGATTACACTTCAATTGTTGTAAACTTGATTTAAAAAAAAAAGAAAAAAAACACAGTGTTTAGTTAACGGTAGCTTGAAATAGTATAATGGAACCCCCTCCCCCGTGATAAACTTTAAAGAGAAAGCCGCAGAAAGCCTGTATATGTCAGAAGCTAATTGCAAAACTATTTGCAAACAACTGATATTTTGCAATGCGCCAACAAAAACACTGGCGTATGTCTAACAAATGGCGTTGTCAGTTTACGAAGAGCTAGAATTTCTCTTTTACGCACATATTCTACGTCATATCTGGGACAGGACGTAGGTCATCTGGAATATGCGTCCCAACTATAACTGTATCTATTTTTGTTTCAATATTTTTTTGTAGATTTCGGATTTCTGGTTCATTATTCATTAAGATAAGTTGTTTTTCATTTCAAGACCTATCACGATTCAAATTCACCCCAAGAATCCGAATTCACATTGAAATAAAAAACAACTTATTTAAATAACATAGATGAAATGATTAGTTTTTCATACCGATGCCTGAATAAATAAGCATGAATCATGCCATGTGAATATATAAGTAACAAGATCTTAATAGTCACTGAACTAGATCAAAAATTATACTTCCATGGATTTAAATGCACTTCATGAATATAAGATTACTTCTTGTTTGATCAATTGGCGTAGGAATTTTAAACCAGGAGTTTCATCTAACAGGGAAAAAAAATTATACGACTGTTAAGCTTATTGCAAACACTTGAAAATTTCATTAATTACATTGAAAAGGATTTAATTAATTTCACTGGCAATCATGAGTAATGGTGTTGTTCAGTGTTGGTTAATTTTGTAAAAGTACACATCTTCTGCATTAACAATATTCAGTTAAAAAAGTATTTGCGGTCTTTCTTATTTCAAAGAAGAAACTCTTTGAAACTCTCCTCTCTTCTTTGAAAGTCTTTTACCGCGAAAAAATCCCTTGGTTAGTTTGACAGCAAAGGAACTCTTACCCATAATCCGTCCGTCTATCGCTGAGTATATTTTACCTCAACAATGTTCGAACTGGGTGCGGAATTAGTATCAACCAATCAACGCTGGAATTGAGGGCGGTTCACCTAATTGGGAGGCTAGCGCGCTATCCCTTGAGCCCCCACGGCTCAAGGGTGTAACCATATGTTTCCAATATTTTGGTTAGGAGAGTGGTAAGTTTGGACTTCTTATTGTTAATTTTACTTTTTGCGTATTTCGTCATAACTAGAGAATTTTTTTATGAAAATTGAAAAGTTTTTTTCTCGCAAAATATAAAATCAGTTCATGCAAAAAGAAATTTTTAGTAATTATTATTTTTTATTATTTTATTTAATAATAGTCGAAAAAATTTGAATTGTAAGATCGGTCCTAATTCCTGAGATATCGAATTTTAAAAATGTAATTTTTATAAAATTCGATTCTCCAGGAACTGTTCGACACATTTTGTATTTTAATATGTAAAATTTCATCCTTTAAAGTTATTTAAGAAGTTATGCGTACCTTACAATTTGAACTTTCTTCCACTATTATGAAATAAAATGAGAAAAATAATAAATAATTATTAAACATTATTTATTTTTTAACTATATTTTGTTAAGCAATTTCTATAATTGTGTGTTAACAGTTTTCAATCCGCTTAAAAAGTTCTTAAGATTTGTTGAAAAATGCATAAAGTAATATTAAAATTAATGGTTCTGAACTTTGAACAGCTATCCTGGCAAAACTATTAGGTACATATTTTCAGGATTGAGGTCACCAGCTATGTTCTGAGGGCAAGGAATCCGTGAACAGATCCGATCCAATATTATTAAATAATCTCTTTAGCGAAAAACATTTGACTTGTTTTTATGGTAACTGAAATGATAAGAAAATTTAATTAAAAAAAAAGAAAAAACGAAGTCGGTTGTTCTAATGGTTATCGGACAAAATGATTTAGTTCAAATTTCATCCCAAAAGATCCGGGAAAAATCGCTGTAAGTACAATAAAATGTTTTGAGATCGGTTAAATAATTTTTAATTTTGACTTAATTTGCGATACTTTTCGGTTAGCCAGGAGCAGGCGAAAAATCGTCATAAAATGTCGAACTTCGCCAACTAATTTCATTCATTTTTTTTAGTTTGTTTTAGTTATTTCTTAACACATAAAATTTAAAAAACAAATAAATGAAAAAGTAAAGAAATCTAAAGTTCCGCTTGGCTACAAAAAGTACCCAATTAGCTTAACGTTAAGAAAAAAAAGTGATTACGTAGCAATCGTTGAGCCGTTAAGCGAAACAGGCGAGAGGTGGAATTTCCAACATAATAGTTTTTCAAAAACATAATAATAACTCTTTGAAAACTGTAATGGTGATTTTCATGAAATCAC